CTTTAAAAAAAAAAACAATAAAATCAATATAAATTGATTGAACATGATTTTTATCTTTACAGTAAAAATATAAACAGTTTATTTAAAACTTATAATAGGATTAATATTACCCTGGCAAATTAAAACTCTACAAACAAAAAACTGTATAAAAGCTTCAACTTTTATGACGTTCTTTTAATATATTGATTAAAAATCACTAAAAAAGTATTATTTTTAAGGTTTATGGTTGTTACTTTGTATTTTTAAATTGCGTCTGAACTATTTCCATAACGTTTTGATTTTGTTACTGATTAAGTATCCAATCGAGGAAACTATGGACTATTTTGTTATATCACTGCAAAATCATGCTTGTAGCAAGTTATAAGATAAGCAAAAAAGCTTTAAATTAAAGATGCATATGCATTTTATGATGGATAACTTTCAAAATTTTGTCTTTTTGTTTTCTACAAGACGTTTTACTAGAAAAATGCAAACTATAGCCATAATTCATTTGTTTTCAAAAATAAATGCAAGTGTTCCAATTAAGGCAACTCTCCTCTATTTACAATTAGAGTTGTCAAGGTAACTAGAAGTTTTTCGTTAAAAACAATAAACCATATAATTATATTGATCTTATTCTCAGATAAATTTAATCAACAGACTTATTTCAAGTAAAATGTTTAAATGACGTGTATAAAAGTTATTTGTAGTAAAATAATTTTAAGATATATTTTACATGTAGTAGAATTATTTTAAGATTATCTTAAAATAATTTGTATACTTAAATGATGAGCAAATTTGTCTAAATAATGTTTGATATTACCCCCGTTAAATTATTATTTAAAACAGCGCTTTTCAGTATCGATTAAAAACTTATTGCGATTATCTTCAGAAAGTGTCAAAATTTTTATTGAATTTTTCTATTTGACCAATTTATCTTTCACGGTAGTATTTTAAGGATTTGCGCATGTGCATATTTTGAGATTTACTGTTTTGGGGACAAAAAATGCAACTTTTGAACCAATGCACAGTCGGCCAAAATTATTATTAGCCGAACAAAAGTAATAACTTTTAATAAATTTTAATCAGATTTTCCCCAAATTACCAGGTTGAGCATATTTCACACTAAGAATTCAATGACACCATTACATTGTTTATTTGATTGCTATGAATACCTATATTCCATAGCAACATTGTATTTTGCATAGTTACCTAAATCAAGAGACTTTCTTAAAACGTCAATTTTATAAACTAAACTGATATTAATTCTACAATCCTATTTTATGTATTTGAATGATAACACAAACAAAAAAATTTCATAAAGTAAGAGATATAAAATACTTTATAAAGTTTATGTAAGAGTACAAACAAACTTGTATATTCACAAAAACATTTATTTGTATATTATAACATGCATTATTTTATTATATAAATACTGATAAAGTAAACATCTTGAATACCAACCAAAATCAAAAATATGCAATTGTGATTAATAGTTAGTCAAAAATTGGAACCTGAGTACATCAAGAACGCCAGTTAGAAGAGCGTTGTTTTTAGGATAATATGATTTTCTCATACTAGTAATCAAACGGTCAGAAGAACACATTAGTTGCCTTGATAAATCTTCATTTATCAAGGAGACTAATATGTTCTAAACTAAAAGCAAACACTTTCTGGAAAATGGTTCATGAAACTTCTTAAAGTTTTTATTTTTAGCTTCTTGTGCTTCTTCACTGAGCATGCCATTAGGCAAAGTCATTCTCTCAACAACTTGCCCACCATGAATAAGAATGCGATGCAAACACTGCGACGTATGATACCAAGGATATAGCTTTACATACTTTTCAATTGTTTTGTAGCAGTATTCTCTAAATAGCGATAAGCCAATTAGAAAGCTAGATGAAAATGTATAAAAAACAACATGTAACATCTTTATCACATTGACATCAAGTTCAAGAATTTCAGCAAACTTTTCTGCATTTAAAAAAAATATTCTAGCAGTGTTTTCATTATTTGATGAACCAGAGCAACCAGACATTTGCATATCAATTGCCGGTCCAACTTCATCACGAAACTTTATTTGAATTTTCTCTTTTCATTTTTGGATATATATATTTTTTTAATAGTGTTATTGTAGACCACTTGCTCACCATTAGTTTATAATTAGTTTTTAGAAAATGTTCCATGCTTTTAGCATGGAACATCTTCTAAAAACATGAAGAGTTAAAAGACCAAAGCAGAGACCTATCTCTATCAATGGCATATTTTTAACTGCATTAAGATCACTCATTTTTTTTGTATTGCATTCACAAACTGAACAGCACTGAGAAGATTTAGCTATGTTAGATATATGATGTAGAAAAATGTTAGATTTGTTGTACCAACTTTAAAATAAATAAAGTTTCTTCAAAAAGATTTCTGTTTTCTTTATCATCTGTTACCTAGGTTACCTGATTATAAATCCTGTGGCTAGTTGATACATCAAACCGAACTTTAGAATGTAATGTTAGTCTTTCAAGATCATTCATGGAATTGGTAACTTGTTTCTGCAACTGTACTAGGTATATTGCCGTTTGATCGATTAATGCTTGAAAGTTTATTTTTCCAGAAAAACTATTAACAGTCCTTAATGTTTGTTCAGAAAGACATTATTATTTACCAGCACAAACATTATGGCATGCAGAATAAAGTTTACAACCTTTACTCACAGCATTAATTTTTCAAGTTTTAGGAATTAGATTTGCTCTTACTTAGGTCGTTAGAGAAGTTCGTAGAACTTCATCTATAAAGTTATATTAAGACAAGAAATAATTAAATATTTATATATCATCTTAAACTGTGTTTAATTATGAACATTTTAAGTACTTGTTGAAATATTTTGAATGTTTATTTAAAGAATTATTTAAATTTTATTATATACGTTTGAAAAAAAAAAATTTTTAATGGAAAAACTTCGAGCATATATTAAAACTCATGCGCTACTTGGAGTTTCAGCACAAGCCATAACCGATGAATTAGTTTTAGTTCACGGTGACCAAGTTCCAAAATATAGTACAGTTGCCAAGTGAGCTACTTTATTTAAAGATGGTAGAGAGAGTCTTGAAGATGATCCTCGCTCAGGGCACCCTAAAACCACGCATACAGCTGAGAATATTGAACGTGTGCGAGCCATTATTGAAGAAAATCCGCATGCAACACATGATATAATTGAAGCCTTGACATCAATTAATCGTTTTACAATTAACGAAATTATTCACAACGCACTTAAAAAAAGAAAACTAACATCACGCTGGATACCTCACGAGTTAACCGATAAAAATCAAAAGAATAGAGTTGAGGCATGTAAGGAAAATTTAAAATTGTTACAAGGGATGAGTCATGGTTTTATTTGAGACAAGTTGGACACAAGCCAGCTAACGCTAGTTGGGTTGGTGAAGGGGAAAGTCCAAGAACTATAGTAAGATGCGATAGGTTTCAGCCGAAAAGCATGTTCTACATCTTCTTCAAAGCAACAGGTGTTGGTCATTTGGGTTATGTTGAAAAGGAAGACACCATTAATAGCAAATATTATATAAAAAATTGTTTGAAACCTCTTATATGCGAATTAAATAAGCAAAGACCTAAAACTGGCGCTCACAATTTCAAATTTCTTTATGACAACGCTCGACCCCATGTAACTCAAACCGGCACAAGTTGTTTAAACCAAGCTGGAATTAAAATAATTCGCCAGCCACCATACTCACTAGAATTAGCTCCATCCAATTATTGGCTATTCGAAATAAAATCTTGATGACGATACTGACGTTGAAAGCCAAAAAACCCGCATAACGAAGTTACTTGAAAGTATACCCAAAGAAGAGTATAAAAAAACGTTTCACAAATGGCTTGAAAGGATGAAACTTTGTATAGATAATGATGGACATTATTTTGTACATTTAATAAAATAAAATTTAAAAAAACTCTTTTATTTTAGTTCTACGAACTTTCCTAACGACCTAAGTATTATTATCTAATATGAGTGCTTTTTTCTTTTTTCAGAGTGTTTTGAGCACTTTTTTGAGCATGTTCTGAATCAGAAAGTTGCTTTACAGATACATACAATTGAACTACATTCTTTCTTCTGCCATCTTTAAAAAGATTACAACTACTAGCATATAACAATTCATTTGGAGAACTAGTTAATAAGTCTATAGCTGCTACTTTACGACTCTTTGTCTTATTTGATGAATTTTCAAATGATTTCTCAGGCCTAACACTAACTATAGATTTTGTTTTATTATTTTTTTTGATAATTTAGTAGTCTTTTTCTTAGGTTGGAGTTGAGAATTAGGTTGCATAAAGTTTTCATCAACGCTTTTACTTAAAGACTATAACATTACTTTGACAAAGTGTTAGAAATTCATCAAATTGAGAAAAGTACTCACAAATAAAATCAACATCAAGTTTGTCTTTTTCTAGACATAGATAAACCATGCTCTTCAATAAATTGATGAACTTGATATTTTGTAATTATTGACATATTACTAATAACGAAATTAAACTAAAAAAAAAAAAATTAAGAAGATTTATATATATATATATATACATATATATATATATATATATATATATATATATATATATATATATATATATATATATTTCATATTGTATATATATATATATATATATATTATATATATATATATATATATATATATATATATATATATATATATATATTTCATATTGTATATATATATATATATATATATATATATATATATATATACATATATATTTCATATTGTATATATATATATATATATATATATATATATATATATATATATATATATATATATATATATATATATATATAATATGAATGTAAAACTCATCATAAATGTGTTGAGGATTTTTTATAACCGGTTTTATAACATGGTAAATGTGTTGAGGATATTTTATGTGCGACCGTGGCGCAGTGGTTACATTGCTTACTTTATATGTCCAGGTTCAAAACGAGCTCTGGACATATTTTCGCGTCACGGTATGAAAGGATGGTTAAATGCATTTCCGCGGTGCTTTAAGACCGTTAGTTCTTCTTTGGGCACCTAAAACAAAAAAAACAAAAAAAAAATTAAAAAAAATAACACACCCTAATATCAAAAAAATTTTCAGTTATAAAATACCTGATTGGTTATTTGAAGTGCAACAACAAAGAAGTAAAACATATCTTATTATCTAATGATTTCATTTCAAAATTTTAATTAATAGGAAACAAAATTAAAAACCTTTATCTCTGTCATTATTATCCATTTTCTAATGAGAGTTTTATTTAATCTAAATCAAATATAAAAAATGTTTAACTAATCCCTCTGTTTTCCGCGACCATTTTCGGGCGAATGAAAATTAGTGCGAGAAAACATATATATATATATATATATATATATATATATATATATATATATATATATATATATATATATATATATATATATATATATATATATATATATGTGCCAAAATATATATATATATATATATATATATATATATATATATATATATATATGTAATATATATATATATATATATATATATATATATATATATATATATATATATATATATATATATATATATATATATATATGTGCCAAAAGTGCGAGAAAACATATATATATATATATATATATATATATATATATATATATATATATATATATATATATATATATATATATATATATATATATATATATATATATATAATATCAAACTGTGTATAAGAGAAAAGGGCAAAATAGAGCAGAAATTTTTCCTTCTTGTCCTATCAAATTTATATATATATAAAACGGATATTTGCTAAAAATAATATCCAAAACTGGTTTAAAATTATTTTTTCAAATAAATTTTATAAATGACTAATTATTTGGGAAGTTAAAAATAACATTTAATCAATATACAAGTTTTTATTCTTTAGTTTAATAAAAAACTATGTTTTCTCACTTAATATTCCAAATATTTATTATTCTAGACTTTTGCTTTGTAAAAAAACTATATTTTCTCACTTTATATATTTTTTTGATTAAAAACATTGTTGAGAAAATTTACTATTTACAAAAAAAATTTATTTATTATTTGCCAATTCAAGTGCTTAGATGACAGCTGGGAGTTCCACCCTCCAAACCTGTCATCTAAGCAATTGAGTTGTCAAATATTGAGGACCCACCCACTACGCCCCCCCCCCTCGGGACGGCCCTGGATATGATATCCCCAATGTATGTAGGATTACATTAGAGTTAATTTTGAAATCTTTCATCATCGTCTGAGAAAAAAAAATTGATTTGAAATTTTCGATTTTATGGCTAAGAACAAATGAGTTATATTATCTATTGAAAACATTTCAAAATTGTTCTAACATACATGTTTTTTTTTTATAAGCATATGGAATTTTTGAAACAGGCTCGGATATGCTTAAGCAAAAAGTTAAAAGAGGCTCGAAAATATGCTTAAACTGAAGCATATTTATAATAAAATATGCTTATTTCAATACTTTCTAAAAATGTGTGCGTTACTAAAGGTTAATATTTCAATACTTTCTAAAAATGTGTGCGTTACTAAAGGTTAATATTTCAATGCTTTCTAAAAATGAGTGCGTTACTAATGGTTATAAGAAAAATAAAAAGTCGATTTTAGTACACTATAATAAAAAATAAAAAACATATACTATATACAAATGTTATCAATAAAATATTGAAATAAATAAAATTTGAAATAATTGAAATAATAAAATAAATGAAATTTGAATTTTTTAAATGGTTTATCGAGGCTCAGGAATATGCTTACATATACTTATTTTTTTATCCAAATCTGAGCCTCCATATGCTTATAAACGTTATGCTTATTAAAAAAAAAACATGTATTTGTTCTATAAATACATATTTACAACTTAGAAACAACAACAAACAATAAAGCATTCAATTTCTTCAAAAAAATTTTAAAAAATTAGATTCTAGTTTGAAAGATTAAGCAACTTAAAAAAACTTAAAAAAATTACTCTAATCAAATATAATTTTTAAAAATTGAAGTAGAAAGATATTTTCTTACATATTATATGTTATAATACAGTATTCTCTACAAAGAAGTTAAATAGAATGCTTGATGTTGTAATCAATCAAATAGTTTAAAAGATTCTTAGGGTAATCCGGATAATTGCTGGGCCTTTTGCACCTTTACCAGTGATGGTTAAAGTCATGATAGAGTGAATATGGTACTTTTTTTTTTTTTTTTTTTTTAAATTGATTAAGGTGCCCCAAGAAGTCCTTACGGTCTTATCACAGAGCACCGCGGAAGAGCATTTAATGGGAAGTTCACGCCTCCTTCCCAACCGATGTCGCAAAACTTGCCCAGAGGTGGGGTTTGAACCACGGATCTTACGTTTCTGAGGCTACTTGCTCTGAATAGATGCCCAGTAAGTGGTTGTGGCAGTCTAAATAAACTGTGTCAAATTAAAAAAGACAGCATGCGCTTTGGGAGCGACACTCGTGTTTGGAAGTTTGAGGTAGGAAATTAAATTCTTTAATGAGGATGCAATAGTTGTCTTGAAGAACATTTCCAAAGGAAGCATGAACAACTGCATCAAACTTTCTAAATGCGTCAATGAATGGAAATGCTAATAAGCAACCATGCTTTTTTGTAAGTTGTTGAAGTAAGTCAACATTCACAGTCAACAAACTGTCCTCCGTGAAAAGGTTGTTGTTGAATATTCATCATTCTTGGCCACTCTGGTGCATTTTTTACTCCAGACACAGACTCTTAAAGAGGTAATTAACAAAAGCAAGAAGCAAGTGAAGCTCTATGGGTAGAATGAAGTCCAAATTGAGTGTTTCTTCAGATAATATAATAACTGGCTCATGCACGACATACTGAAAGTCCCTAGCTTTTTTTATTTGGGCACCTGCTGCTTGCAGGAGCCAAATGAATAAGGGCGAGCACTTAAGTGAGACTGCAAATCACAAATAATGTTTTCAAGCTTTTTGTCACATGACAACACAAAAGACAATGTCTCAAAACTTAATTTGTCCATGATCTGCATTACATTGTCATAATTTTCAGAAAGGTTTTCTACGATAGTCACCAGAAGTTGATGACTACTGAGTCTTTGAAGAGAGGTTTCTTAGTCAAAGAAGAAGCATTTGGTTCTAAGTCAAGAACCCCTAGAGACACTTTTAGACACCCTCTCCATCAATTCCCACCTTGATAAGTTCATTTGACTGAAGAATACTGATCTAAACAAAAGTGTTTCTTAGTGCTTTAACATCTTTGCAGAACACTAATAGACGTTTGGATTCTTAACTAAGACTTTTGGATGGGTCTGAAATTTCTGAGGTGACAAACATGTCAGAAAGATGTTTTTCAAGAGACTGAAATTTTTCCATAAATTTTTTTTCAACTAATCGCTGGGGAATTACTTTGCAAAGTGTTAAAGCAAGATTGTTCATCGCTTTGTTTGAAAGCCCAATCTGATTTTGAACTTTTAGAAGTTGTTGAGCAGTCAAGGTGGATGTAGCAGTCAAAAAGCATGTTAAGCATATATATAAAAAAGAAAATTTTTTTACCTGGAGTAACTAAAAGATGCCTTCCTATTTCTTGGTTAAGACGCACAGTGCCATGGGGTGAAGGAAGTTTGTTAACTATCACAGTAGCAGCTACTCTTTCTGCTGCTTTTGTGTCTTTTACAGCAACTTCAAGCAAGTTCTGTCAAAGTATTCTTTTTGTACAATTACGTAGAATCCTTCTTCGAATCAGTGAAAAGCGTGCTGAACAACATTTCTCAATAACTAGCTGTTCTTTTGACTGACTGGTTGTATTTGTTGTTCCAATCGGTTGAGGGCTTCCAAACTTGTCTTTTTCTATATAACTAATCATGCAATAACATGGTGCTCTTCTTGTTGCAGGACAAATCTTTATGTCAGACAGTGAGGGAAGTTAAACATCTTCACGTCTCTTTTTCTTAGGCCTACTCAACAGGCGCCAATTGGAACTCTTTAATCTTCAAAGTTGATAGCTTGACTAAAAACTTCTTGACAGCGTTTAATCACAACGTCAGCTGCCTGTTACCTTTTTTTAAACACAGAAAACAGACAGTTTTTCTATTTTCATCGTGATTTTTTGCTTGATTCGGTATTTTAGATAGTTTTGCACTTGTATTTTTTTCACAAAGCACAAAGTAACTGTTTGCAGGCGTTTCCCGGAATTTTAAAATTAATAAAGGGCCTAGGAATTCTTACTTAAACAAGTTGCTTACCCTTGTTCGGTTGTTAAAGCTTTATACTTCAATAACAATACTCATGTTAAGAATAATTATCAAGTAAACAAAAAAAATGAATAAATAAATTTAAGAGCACGTATTTACAAGAGCCGTACGTTTTGGCGACGGAACCTTATATTTTGACGTCTTGTTTTGAAGACGTAATCTTATATTATGACCTCTTTTTTTGTATTAAAGCATATTTGTACTGCTTGGAGTCATTTTTTAGAGTAGCAAATTTAAAATGCATTATACTTGTTTATAAGTTTTTCCCTGGAGACATTTTGTAGCGAACTAGAAGGGGATTAACGCTACCAAGTTTAAAGTATATAAAGTAGCGGAAGAGAGGCAGCGGTTTCTGGTTCCCAAAAATGCGGAAGGTAGCGGTAGAGATTTCAAATATTTGGTTGCAATGTCTAGCTCTGCTTATTGTATTTTATAATATATTGACTTTTGGTAGACTTAGTAGATTTCAAAAATGTATTATTCGATTTTAGTCGAAAACATCTACTTTTGAAAACATGTTACAACTTTCGAAAACAGGTTAGTCTATACTATGTATTACGTTGTAATACATAGTATATATATGTATATACTTTCGAAAACAAGTTAGTCGATTTAGTTGACAACCGAATTATTCAAAAGTCGTAACAACACTTAAAATGTTTGAATAATATCACTAAGCTCAGCACTACGTGAAATTCGTGGCCTGTTAACCTAATTTGAATATATATACTTCTTTAAACAATGTTTTAATTTATTTATGTATTACATATTTAACTTAAAAAATTATAAGTTATATACTTGATAAACTTTACTCATTTAGTTTGATAGACAAATGCTTGATTCCTACTTCAGCCAAAAGGTTTTTCTTCTACAATTTAAACAAATTACACAAATAAACTTTAAATCCTGGGCACACAATAAACTTTTATTATACTCAGGCCAAGTCTCCTTGATTTTATTTGCTATAGATGGTTGTACTTTAATAATGATTTTGAACGTTTACCCTTTTTTTTCTAAACAAATTGCACAAACAAACTGTTTTAATTCAACCATATTTACTGCTTCTTGTCTTTTTCTCTAATAATATTTCCTTAATCACTTCAAAATTATTAAAAAAAAAAGAAGCCAATAATGGTTTTACCATTTTTAAGAGTAAATTTTCAATCTTATGTACTTTTTAAAAACTTAAGTTATTAACTCTTCTGATCAACTTTAGATTTGTATTGCACTTGATAAACACTGATACAAGCTTTGTTTAAAAAAATAAAAAAAACTAGCGGAGGTTTGAATTAGAGTTTTTTATGGCCCACCGTGATATATACATGATACTTATGCATTATATTTGATTTATATATATGACGAAGAAATATAATTGATTATCATTTTAACTAAAAATACTTAAATCTTGTTTAAATCATTGGTAATGTTGGTTTAAATATATATAATAAATAATATATATAATAAATAGTATATACAATAAATGATATATATATAATAAATGATATATATAATAAATGATATATATAATAAATAATATATATAATAAATAATATATATAATAAATAATATATATAATAAATAATATATGTAATAATAATAGCACAAGAAAATTTTTTCTTGTACTAAATAAATTTTGTTCTTTAATTTTAATTTCAAGACTTTTTTAGCTTATAATACTCTGGTTTAGCTGTTAAACATCAATGTATACTTTTAAGTCCCGTTGAAAGAATAAAATAAAAAGTGAAATCTTATTGAAAATGGTGTCGATCGATGTGAAAACTTTATAAAAAGTATACAGCAAATTTTCATTACACACAAATACATCAGGTGATATCGAATCTAAACAGTATAGAATCACAAATACAACAGGTGGTAGATCAAAATTTACTACAGTCGATGTATGTACACTTCTGGCATGTTTCACTTGTTTGTCAGTCAATTTATGAAAAATGAAGGATTAATGTTTTTCTTGTAACATAATATTATGTTGTGTATGCTGCAAATTCTTATAAATTTTTGTAAAACTATACATATTTTCATAGCAAAAAAAACTTTTAATGTTTTTACTTTTATTACATTAATACTTTAATTAAAAGTTTTTAAAGAACTTTCTCACGCACAAATTTGTGTGAAATATTAAATTTAATTTTCCGAATTATTAGTACAATTGCGTCGGCAAACTCCTATCTAAATTTCGTTTATTTTTCAACGTTAATTCAACGTTTGAAAATAAACGTTGAATCAACGTTGAAGTTTCAATGTTTTTTTTTTTTTTTTAATGTTGAACTAACGTTGAAAAAACGTTGAAATTTAGATTGTTATTTTTCAACCATATATCAACCATTTCGCAACGTTGAAATAACGTTATGTGCTTGCTGGGTGTAAGAAGCAACATTCACAAATATTAAAAGAAGCAACATTCACAAATATTATAAGCTCAAATCTGAAAATTATCACGGATGTCCGTGACTTGATAAACTCGAAAGTGAAATTAACATAGAGTTGCCATATGGTAATCACTGAAAAAGAGGGGGTTTTACACAGTGGCGAGTTTTAGGGGGGGGGGGGAGGAGGGAATGGGGTAGCAGCCTCTTCCCTCCCCCCCCTCCTCCATAGATTTTTTTTTCAAAAAATTCTTTTGTAAATTGACTATTATACAGAATTGGACTACTATACTGACAAATGAAATTGACTATTATACGTAATTTTACGTATATGAACTTGATTATTATACTAAAGTACAAAAAATTAAAAAAAAATTAAAAATGAAAATATCCAGACTTTTTTTTTGTTGACCTTTTTAGCCCCCTACTTGGCAAGTGACATAACCCGCCCCTGATTTTACAATACGTGTTAAATGAATGAGAATTCTTATTATTTAGTGAAGCATTACCAGAGTGGACCCGTTTATGAGAATTTAATAAATAATAACTCATTTTTTTAAATGTCATTTAATTTTTCAATACAAATTGTTGGTTTTGCAATTGAAATTAACTAATTTAAATTGCAAAACCAGCAGTTTGTATTAATTAATTTTAATTGCAAAATGTTCACATTCAATTTTATTGCTGTCTTACAATTATTGATTCTCGATGAATTAAGTCTTATTAGTTATTCTATATTAAAATATACAATACTATATAAATGCTAGCCAATAATTATTCCTCAATTATTTAACTTGTCCCTATTGTCATCTTGTAACCAGTGTTCACTTGTATCTAACTAATCACTTGAATCAGTTATCAATTTCACAGTTATCGACCAATCATTTTCAGTTGGAACAGAGCAAGAACTATGGACGGGGGAAGATAAATCATAACAACTATACTTTTTTGTTGAACTTTTTCAATAAGTCTTTATTTGATAACAAAAACTTATTGAACTTGTAAGTTTGAAAATTGGTCATGGCTCAATGGTTTATTAACATTAAAAAGGGGCTTTTTTGTTTACAATTAAGTTTTTAACTTGATCCCAAATAGGGATGCTGTCAAGTTTCATCCAACTTAAAGTTTTTAACAACTTAAAGCTTTTAACTCTTGTTATTGAGACTAATAACAGGTCAAAGGTTACATCATTTACATAATTTTGGCTTAATTATGATTGTAAGATGAATTAGATAAATAAAATTAACATAAGATAATTTGTTTATCTTTGGGAGAAACATAAATAAATGATCCAGCTGGGCAAATTTTTAATTTGGCTTCACACTCATTCCTCTCTTTCTTAAACTAGAAAACATTTTTTTAAACAAAATTATTGAGTGCAGCGATTCTTTTACTTTAAAACTTTAAATTAAAGGAACTATCTCTTGTGTAGCAGCAACCAAAATACTTTATTACTTTAACGTAATTTATCGGTCGCGACTTTCGTTTTCGCAAGTTTAGATGCGCGTGCATTTTTCAATATTGTGTAATTAAGAGAAGAGAACACGTGCTGCGTTAGCATTTTCAATAAATTGTGACTAAAAACATTTTACATTTAATAGTTTTTACATTTTCAGTTCTATACATTTAAGTATTAAAATTTAAGTATTATATATCGAATTTTTATAAAAATTAAAAAAAAACCTCCAAAAAGAGGAGATTTTATGTTTTTTTTTGAAATCCCGCGAGACTTATTTTTTGCCTTAAAATCCGGAGATCTCCGGGCAAATACGGAGATATGGCAATCCTAAATTAACACCAACAAATCAATAAACTTTAACCATAGAAAAAACTTTAGAGATATCAAAGAAACTTTTAACTTCCAAAAGGAAAACTTCACAAATAAACAAGCACAAATGAGCTAAAAGTGTAATAATGAAATTAGCATATTAAAAAAGAAGACTATAGATTTGGAAAATAGATCACGTTGTAACAATCTAAGAACTGACGGAGAGCCGAATCTAACTCTGAAGCATGGAATGACTGTGCTAGCATAGTCAAAAGTATTTTTAAAAACCAATTGGGAATTGCGGAGAACATAGTAGTTGAGAGAACCCATCGAGTAGGAAAAGTAAAAGAAGACAAGCCGCGAACGATAATTCTTAAACTTTTAAATTTTCATGAAAAAAACAAAGTATTATTTTTAGTAAAAAGGCCAAAGGAGTATTCATAAATGAAGACTACGCAAACGAAACCTTAGAAAAACGAAAAAAGCTTTGGGAAGAAATAAAAAGACACCGAAAAGAAG